GCCAGCATTCTGGGAGTTGAGGTCCACACATCTTAAACTCGCCAAGGTTTGGAAACACTGACCTATGGCTACCCCTGCTTGCTCCTGAACTCAAACAAAGAGAGAAGCGGAGATAGAACAGCCAAGGAGCATCAAAAGACTCTGCTACAATTTGGGGAGGTGTTCAAGGACAATGGAAGGGGCCCCAAAGCCCCCTACCTCTACCTTAGGTGCACAGATCCCAGTGGTATAATGGAGTATTCTGGACAGTCAAAACCAGCCTGAATCCTTAAGCATGCCAGCTCTGAAGTCTTTTCCTGAGTCACCCTTGACTCCTGGTGACTTCATGGATGCATCTCTAGCGTTTTCCTAGAAACCATCCAGAAGTTCTTTACCCCTGAGTTTTTTTCAACTTTCCAAATCTAACGCCCTGGGATTTCCTAGTGCTCTGCAACTCAAGTCTTAACCAGTCCCCACCCTGGTGAGCTCTTCAGGTTCAGCTAAGGTCAGCTTGGTGCTTCCACAGAACTGGACAACCTCGCTTTAAACCGCTCTCCAGTAGCACATCAGCAAAATTGCATTTGCTTCAAGCTGGAATGCAGTCTACGTGGAAATAATTGTTCTTCTCCAGAACTGGACAGCTGTTCTGCACAGACAGTAACCTCCCTCTTGCAAACAGAGGAGCATTTCATAAAAACGGAAGTCGCCAGTCCTATAGCCTATTGAGTAATGTTGGTAAAAATAATGATGGTGGGGGGGAAGGGCAGAAGGAGAAGACATTCAGCAACTTGGAATGTTAAGTGGAAAACCATCTTCAACTTTTAAGTATGCTTTGGCCAGCCCGGTGTGCAATTCCCATCATCCCCAGCCAGGACTGCACTCAGTCATCAAGAAAGCACCAAGACAGACAAGAGTGGAGACAGACAATACGCAGAACTGAAACAAGCTACTGTCCTTAGTGTTCATTAATCAAAACCATCCAGTCCCATTACCCCCCACCCCACCAAAAAAGTCAGATTTAAAATCATATTCAGAGACGAAGTATGAAAAAGCACAACCTATCTGCAGGCTGGCTTTCAGGCGGCAAAGCAACACGATCTGGGCTCTCGGCAGCGTTTAATCAAAGTGAAATCAAGGCATGGTAAATATAATATATAAACTGTTTCCAAAATGGAGAAAAAAGATTTAAGTTGCAATCACAGAGCTACACAATTGGAAATAACTATTTTAGTCCCTTCTTTTGCCCTTTTTTAAACACCATCCTGTCAATTTTTGGCAAAGATGGTGAGAGAGGGCTCCTGGAAAGAAAAAAAAGAAAAAAAGAAAGCCACAGGAAACCCAGTCCTATTAAGGAATGAGCAACACAGAAAAGGCGGGGAGGGGGAGGCTCCTTGTCCCCCATTGCGGTTCACACTTTCTACTTTCAGTCCAAGAAGATACTAATCAGGATGCAAAAGGCTCTCCTTGATGCTTTCATCTCAAAAGTAATCTTCAGTTCAGCAGCAGTCAGCTTGCCAAGAAATGATAATTTCCCAAATCACATATGCAAAGCTGGAAGGCATTATAAAGGAACCACCAGACAAAACATTTGATCAGGATGAGCCAGAATTCAGCGTCACCTTCATTGTTTCTAGCTGGTCAATGCTGGAACGTCAAGTTCAACTTTAATCCAACTTTTTTTGGTCTTACTAATAAAAGGACCCACAGCAGCCGTCAAATGCACTTCTTTGAGTTCTGAAATTTTTATTTAAAAAAAGCAAACAAACACCAGACTCTACATCAGTGTTTCTCAACCTTGGCCACTTTAAGCTGTATGGACTTCAACTCCCAGAATTCCTAAGCTGGCCAGAGGTTTCTGGGAGTTGAAGTCCATGCAGCTTAAAGTGGCCACGGTTGAGAAACACTGCTCTACACAGTAAAAATGGTGCTCCCTAAATTCTGGAATGCAAAGGAACTGCTGGGTTAACAAAGCAGCTACAGAATGACTGAATCCTGGGGGGAAATTCACACCAGCCTTCCCCAATATGGGCCCTCTGTTTGTATTCTTAGGTTGGCATGGAATGTAATCTGTAATCCAGCATATTGACAGCCTGGCGAGATCACATCATCATTTCCTAATACACCCTCTGCCATATTTCCTTTCGGTATTTACTAACAAAATGTCTTTTCAAAAGAGTGGATCCAACCGGTTGTTGGGTCGGTCTGGATGACAGCAAATGTGGTTGGGTGTGAAAGGTGCTAGAGTGGGATTGAGGGGACCCAGGTTCAAGTCCACGCACAGCCACAGAAGCTTTGGGCCAGCCCTTCTCTCTCAGCAAAACCTACCTCACAGGATTGTCACTGCAGGGGAAAATTGGATGTCAGAGTGCTATGGAATATAAATCTAACAAATTAAAATTTAAACAACAGCTATCTCTAACCTGGTGCCTAGCCAATACATTAAGACTACAATTCCCATCCATCTGCACGGACAATGGAAAACACTTTTTGATCTCCTGCAGCTAAACAAAGATTTATAAAAACGTCTGCAAAGAAAGGCAAAATATTATACAATCTTCTTCCCCATAACCTTCTCCTAACAGCTATGCGGAATTTCTCCTTTTATCCTCATGATATTAACAGAAATTAGTCAACAAGGTTTGTCCTGAGTCTTGATGGTCACTACTCTGCTCTTCCACCTTCACACATCACATGAAACTATGGTTTGTTGAGCAACCCACAATGGTTGAGTTTAAACAATGCTTTAAACCAGAATCAGACAAGCCACATTTAGACTGAACACCACTGTGTGAAATTAGAGGTAATCCTGCTGAGTTTCCAGCAACACTAGCTACAGCTGAGCTTCAGTTAACATCGGATCCTAACAGCCAGCCTTAAATCCTCCAAACAGCAGATGTGGATTCAATTGACAGAGACAGCAATTTCCGCTTCGACTGAGCAACCGCAATTATTTTCCAGTCAGCGGTGCCAAAACTCCCTCCCCTACCATCCCATCTGTAGCATTTCTAACCCAAACACCCTTCTTGGTTTGCTGACCGGTTCGACTTGTTCCCTTCTCCATCCCCTGACTTTCTCAAATGCACCATATCTGTGTGATGGCCAATTTGTTGTAGATTTAGAAGGAGCAAGCTTCTTCCAGCCCAGCACTGTTAATTTTACAAAATTCAAATTAATTTCATCTTCAGATTCAAGTGGGACATCCATGATAAAGACATTAAGGAAGTTCATAGGTGGCCAATGGTTTATCTGTAGTAATAATGAGAGCTGAAGGTGGGTCCTCCAGAGTCAGGAGCAGTATACCTCTAAATCTCAACTGCGTCCTTTGGAACCTATTGGAGGTTTCCCAGAAGCCCACTATCTTCCTTTTACTTCTGCTGCTCCCAAAACATTTGTCTTAATAGCAGATGGAAATCAGATGCTTTAGTAAATGCCACAAATTCACCCCGTGCACCTCGGACCTTTTCTTTCCTCTCTGCAAACCCAAACATGTCTATGTGGCTAAGTTCATCTAACATGTTTAACCTGGTTTCTGAATCAGCCCACTCTTTGGCACTCACCCATAAGCTGGCCAAATAGTCTAGCCCTGTCAAAAGGAAGAGGACGAGCTTTCTAGGGTGTCCGATTCATGTGTACGCTCTGGACAGAGGCAACCTGGTGCCCTCCAGACCCACTGGCTCCAGACCCACTGGCACGGAAGATGTTACCTAGCCGGGCAACGAACCGTTTGCAATAAAACAACCAAGCTCAGAGAACCCCAAGGACTCCACATGGCTCTTAATTCCCAGAATCCCCCAGCCAGAATGTTAGAGAGGGTTCTGGGAACTAGAAGCCAATATATTTAGAAAGCACCGAGTTCAGCGATCTCTTTTTCCCGGAAGGGATGGCTTTCCAACTCTCCTTCCGTGCCCCGGTTCTCTTTTTTGCTTTTTGAAGTTAAACAAGAGATCAAGTGACTCCGAAGTCGAGACAGGCACGCAGAGCCAGACAGATCCCGGGCTCCGCGCTCCCCTCTCGGTCCGCGGCACCATCCTGGGACTGAAACCGATTCCCTGCGACTGAGGAGCGAAAGGGGTGGCCGTGTGGAAGGGCTCTTTAAGACCCCTTCGGGTGCTGCTCCGGAGCAATTCCCCGGCTCAGGAGCGAAGGGCTCCGCGCACACAGCCCCTCTATCGCTCCTCTCCTTCCCCCTTTCTTCGCCTGGCCGCGCCAGCCCTCCAGCCTGCGGCGACTAGTAACTTCCCCCCGCGCCCCCCCAGCCTCATTCCCGCCCGGTCCCCAGCGCTGCGCCTCCGTACCAGGATCCACGGTTTCCCGCTCGCCTTCGCTGCCCGCGGAGGCGCCCAGCACCAAGGCGGCCAGCATCACGGCGGCGCGCAAGACGGGGATCGCTCGCAGCTCCATGACCGCAGGCTAGCAAGCACCGAGCGCAGGGAAGCGACTGTTCTCCCCACCTCCGAGTTTGGTTTGCTCTCGCGAGCGGCGGGGCTTGGAAAGATCTCAAGCTCCTCCCGATAGCAAGCCAATCGCTGGGGGACTCGGCGGGGGGACCTCCTCTAAAGGGTAGGGTTAACCCTGCGTGGAGTGGGGGGCATCCTATCTGCCTGCCAGCCTTCCCCAAATGCGTGCCAATCTCGGTTCCATCTCCCCCGCAGTCGGATCCAAAGGACACATTCCAGAGGGAAACCCCCGCCTCCCCCTCCCCCTGCGCGCATTCCATTCTTTATTTACGCCTCTCTTTTTCTCAATGGGAACTTATGCGCCTTGTTATCGACCAATCGCAGCGGCAACTCAGGAGACGGTCTGGCCAATCAGGACGGGGGGGGAATATTTCCCCTCCCTTCTTGCAAGCCAATCAAGAGTCTGGAAAGTTCGGGAGAGCCGAAGAAAGGGGTCGAAGGAGAAAGGAAAGGGAAAGGAGGTGGAAAAGACACGTGTTCGGGGTTTGTCGTGAGGATAGCGGTACAGGGCATTTCCACACACGGCGGCTCCTTCTCCAGCCCCGGGAGAGGACGGGGTGGAAGATGCTAGATCCAGCCCAGATAACAAGGCCAGAGGATGAAGGAAGAATAAAAACTCAGCTCAAATGAAGATTTGATCCTTGATAGCCGCAAGGAAAAAAATCCAGGAGAGATCAGTCTGGTTATTTGGCCAGGAAAAAAATGCGAGCTTTCCGGTTGCGCAGAACTCTTCGTCAGGCAAGGCAAGGGAGGAAAAATGAAAAGAGCAAGGGTTCAAATGAGAGGCGTTACTAAGCTCTTCTCTTCCCTTCTCTGCCGGTAAATGTTAGGAACGTGTGAGGCTGTGATCCTCGGGTCCCTTCTTCGAAAGGAAGCCCCATTCAATCTGTATCTGGCCGAAAATCCAAATATTCACCGTTATTTTTTTCGGGATGGCTCAGGGCTTGCAAGAAATTGATTTGTGATCGGTGTTGCTTTGTTTGCAAAACGATCTTTCTTTTTACCGTAATCAGATGAGTTGGTAAACGCATTACTGTACAGTAACTCCGTGATCTTAGTAATTTGATCTGGGGGGAAAAGGGGGTTTAGAGAAATGCAATACAAAACTGGGACCCTTCCCACTCTAGTCCGAGCACTGTTTTTCATGCAAAAATAGAGACAGAATGCCTAATAACAATAATAGTACTGTAATCATAATAATATCCAGCTTTGCATAGCATAATTAGAGGTACCCAAATTCAGAACTATCTTTCATGGGGATAATCCCCATGTTTGGTGTCCATGTTTATATCGAAGGCACTTTGCACATGCTCAAAAGAATGGTTCCGATAGAGTTTGCGCTATCACCGCAACCCTAAACGCTAGAAACAATTTCAGGGGCTGAATGGGCCCTGAATAATAAAATTATTCGTTTAAATCAGTGTTTCTCAAACTTGGAACTTTAAGACATGTGGAGTCTACATCTTTTAACGTTGCCAAGTTTGAAAAACACTGGTTGAAATGAAATTCTGTTCTCCGCCTTCGCTTAAAGAATATATTTCAAACTCGGCGGAGTGTAGGACCCGGGGGAACAAAATCCCGCCTCTACTAAAACCAAACATTCTCAGCGAGGAATGTCGTCATGACGCTTCTTAGGGGGCGTGACTTGTCAGCGCAGGCGGAAGTCCATATGCCTCTTGTAAGATGGCGCATGCTTGTAGTTTGTAGATGGATGGAGCGTCCTTATACATAAATACATTGGGAGCGCTAAAACCTGACTAGGTTTGCTCAGTACCTTGTCGCCTCTGCAGTACAAGGTTTTTGCAGTTTGGAAAACCGGAGTGGAGAGAAACAAGGCGATTTTATACCAGAAACATCAGGAAGACTCGAGGGGGGCGCTGCGTCTCTTTGTCTGGCTTGCAGAATGGTGGAAAAGAAAATTTCAGGTATCTTGGAGCGGGACGCGGGGAGAAAGCGGGGGGCTGTTGATAGATGCAAAGAGTGACTGGGTCGTTTTTCCAATTGCAAAGAAAGATAAAGAATAGCGCTTTTGGTGCATCTTTAGGAAGCGATACATGCTAAAAAAAACTAGCCTTAACTCAGTTGTTGCTCTTCAGATACGATGGGGATACAATTCCCAGCGTTCCCAAATAGTGTGTTCATGCAATCATTCTGGCTGGAAATTGGGAGAGCTGACCGCTCAACAGCTGCTCCAGCTGGGCTTGGAAGCTGAGTAGGGTCCAACCTGATTAGGAATAGGATGGAAGACCACCAGGAGATCTCAGGACGGTAGATTAGACCGGGAAGTTGAAAAAATCCCAGGAAGCAGAAATGGCAAGCTGTGCCTGTACTATTGCCAAGAAAACTACAGGAACATGTCCATGGAGGAGATTTTACATAGTCTCCATGTGTCTGGAGAGCGCAAGGTTGGGGAAGGCTGAAATTCTAGGATACAAAATCAGAAACCACAGGTACATGTACCATCTTGGTTTGTGCAACAGGTGAGGTTGAAATCCAGTTAACCAGTTTGTGTCTCAGTGTGTTATACAAACTCAGCCAGGGTGGTTGAGTTACAGGCCTGTGCATTGTTTGAACCCACGTAATTGGATGACCTCAACTCTAAATCAGTTAAATGTGCATTATTCTGGGGTGTGAACTCAGCCAATGTTATCTAATGATAGTGATGTAAATTCTGATTTTAATTGCACTGATTTTGCTGTCATGTTTTATAGATGGTATTTCTTAATGGTTGTAAATCACCTTGAGTGCTTCCCTGTACAGAGAAGTGGAGTATCAATTTAATGATTGACAAACATTTTGGTTTTGATGTAATCCTGGCTTAATTTTTGAAGTAAAAAGCCCAACTCAAAGGGGCCCAATTTGGAATCCTTTTGGCTCCTATACTGTGCATAAAACTTGCAATCAGAGAAAAACATTTTGTCATAACCGAGTTTTGAACAGAATCTCCAAAAGTTTGATTTGCAAAACCAGTTGTTCTGCCTAACTGTAATAATAAAATCTGGAAAGCTAGTACTTTTATGATTCTGTTCCATGAATGTGTGCACTACAAAAAATCTGTTAGTTGCTAAGATGCCCAATGTTTCTTGGTCATTTTAAAAATTAAAACAGGAGGGGGATAATTTCACTGCACCACTGCATTCATCTGAATCTCGAGCAGAATTTCCTCTGCAACAACAGATGTTTTAAGTGGGAAAACAAGTGATATGAAGGATTTAAACAAGTATTTTTTACATTTTCCCAGTATGTGCTTGAAGTGGGTGAGGTAAGGCCTGAGAATGAAATACTGCTATTTCTCCATCACACCCTGGAATATACAAGCCTACACTAAACTCTGAAACAGTCACAACATGTCTAAAATAAAACATCTTAGAGACAAAAATGTTCACAGAATCAGTAGGAGTCAAACCAAACTCAGTGGCATCTAATTAACTCCAACCTCCAAAATAATTGTATAATTTCAGATAAGAAATATTGGCCTGTTTTCAGCCATAACACTGGAGTGGTTTTTAAAATTCTGGGATGATTGTGATTGCTTATAGATGATGTCCTATGATCCTTTGTGCCTCCAGATGTGTTCAACTACAGTATGTCACCCATTATCCACTCCCATCAAACTGGCAATTATCAACATCTTCTGAGCGTGCAAGGTTGAGGAATACTGGCCTACAGAATCATCTGTGTGCAGATTAGGTGTTTTTAAGCACGTCACAACAGCCACCTGTAAGAGGAGGGATAAGCTTATGGACCTGAAAATCTTCTTTGGCAGAATAGTTGCTCTGTCCTACCACAGGAGGGTGCATCTGGACAACATGTAGATAGGTTAGGTTTATGCAATGGTAAGGGAGCATCATTGAATTCACACATTGCAAACTATAGCCCATGGCTTGTTTTATATTTACATAAAAGAATGGGTGAGCTGCATTTACGGATAGTTTGCGAAGAGTGCGGAAGGAACGACTGGGTTTGCTCACTGCTGTAAGGAATAAACTGGGCCTTACAAGCCAAAGAGAGTATATTCTCACGACATCTAAGAAACAAATAGGTGGAACAGCTAAATAAATTGATGGAATATCGTACGCTCTTAACTCTGGTTTGCGGTCACTGTGGGTTCACACAGCACACTAAGCCAAAATTAAAGACGTCACATTGTGCTCTAGTTGAGAGTTGGACAACAGATTTTGGGCTGTTCGTCGGCCTTTCGGTGAGAGTGGGGGGAGTTTAAGGGTCGGGGTAGAAACAGGAGCCTCAACAAAACAAAGTGCTTATCCTTAAGGCTGAGAAATGCGAAAAACGGGCAGATGTCCTGCTGCAGTTCAGTCATTTTGCTGCCAAATGTTGGTGGTATGATCTCAGGGTGCTTCGAGGGGGGTGCATGTGACCCTCATGCAGTCCATTCCTGGCTTAGGGCAACGTCTGTCTGATTGGAGCATGTGCAATAGGAGACTGGAAGCGCCCTTTGCCAATTGGGAAGGTTGTCTTATCAGCAGATGCCAGCTGTCCTTCTTGGAGGCAACATGGTTGACTCAACGTAGCTTGGCTTCAGCCTCCCTCCATCCTCTCTCCCTCTTTCTTCTTTCTCAGCAAGGTCCCAGGACCCCAGCCAGAGGCGTATTTTAGACCGGGCCACCCGCCAGCGCCGTCTCAACCGCCAGTTAGAGGCCCTGGAGAATGACAACTTCCAGGATGACCCCCATGCCAACATGCCACAGCTGGTGAAGCGCTTGCCTCAGTTTGACGACGATGCCGAAACAGGTGAGGTTTCCTGCTGGGCGTTTGCTTGATTTCACTTTCCCTTGATTTCACTTTCCCTTGGCTTTCCTTGACTTCCTTTTCTTTCTTGGCCAATAGATCGGTTGATTTTGTTCTTTGACTTACTTAGCCTTGTTTGTTTGGGTGTGCAACTGCACACACATATGTAGGTTCCTTGGTTTGTATATGGGGAGGATGTATTTTGTATCTGGATCTGTACATTGCGGTTAGGGGTTTTGTGTATTTTTGTAGTTCTCGAGGTGTTGCCAGTTTGGTTTTTGTGACATAGAGATGCCCTTGTGGGAGCAAAGAGCTAATTTTTGATTGGATGCTGGGACAACCCCCCCCCCCCGTCTCCCTCAGTTTAATAAGGAAATTCCTTTTCTTTTCACTTCTCCCATTTCTTTTCTGGAAATTGGGAGTTT